GAAAGACGGAGCAAGGGGCGTGGCAGTACTGAAACACCGTCTAAGCTGTTTGCCAATCACAACGCACTGGGATAGCTAACCAATCACATCACATTTCGTTTTTCGGAAGGCGGGCGTTCATCAAACCCGGAACTAATCGAGCCGTTTGTGCCAGGATGGGGAGAGAGGTGTTGTAATAATGTAAATTATGTAAAAAATAATGCGTTTTTCGAACCACCAAGCATGAGAGCATGTTCTAGTACACCCCCAAAACAAATTCAAGACATTGTAAAAGACATAATAGGACCCCTTTAACAATAACTGATAGAGCTCGTGGTTTATCTGTCAATCAGATGCGCTCTCGGCCACTGATCTATGCTCGGGACGTTTTCTTTTATAATTATCATTGGCTGATAGAAATGTAAAAAAAAAATAGTATTTTAGATGGAAATAAGATCAAGACCCTTGATCACGTCATCTATTCTGTCGTGCAGCGCTCAAAATTGTGGGCAAGCCAGGTCCACCGTAAAATTACCTCTGAATCGTTTTTTTAACTGGTTCTAATGACTTCGAATCACTTTTAGCGAGCACGAGGGAGGCGAATGGTAATAAAAATATAAAAATGAAAAGAATCTTTTATCTCACAACTCTCGTAATTATGGCTTTAGCGAGCATGAGGGAGGTGAATGGTGCTTCATATAAACGGGAGCTCCGGCACCGACGCGCTCTGCGTAGTTACCTTTGCGCAGAAGCCTGTGAACACGACCGACGGGGAACTGCAGCCCTGCTCTGGATGAGCGAGTCTTGGCCTTCGCTCTCGCCTTACCACCAGTTTTACCTCTTCCACTCATGGTTGATTGTAGTAAAATAACACTTACTTCAACAACGCAGAAATACTAATAATCCCGGGAGCCTCGCTCTACTGTATTTAAAAGAGCGTGTGAGTCGCCCATTGGTTTAAAGCATGTAAGATTTCAAACCAATCACTGAACTTCCCTCCAACACCCACCGCCGAAGCTACGCC